AAAGCCAAATGATGGAACTCAGGTCACCCGGCTTGGAACTCCAGGCATGCACCATCATGCTGTACTGCTTGTTTAGGTTTTATCCGGTTCCTACCAATGACCTATGTAGATACCAGAGGGAACCGAAGAGCTCTGCATCAGTTCTACAAGGAACTCATTGGTTATCTGTAGATGGACAACCTGGACCAGTTACCCTGACAGTAATGGAAAGTCCACAATCTGAAGTTAATGCCCGTCATTTGCTTTCCCAAGTCACAGCTTGGCCCAAGTGGGGCAATGCCTTTCCCCGATACGCGACTCACAATTGCAGGTTTGTTTGGAGACATAAGCTGTAGTTGCACTTCCTTTCTTTTCAACTTAAAAAGTACATCAAGGCAAAGCTGAAAGAAAATGGGATAAAGTCTGGAGGATTTAGAACAAAAAGCAAGTCACCTGTGAGCAGGCCCACACACCGAGAAGACTGGCTTCTGAAGCTCCGGGAATATTTCATCATTATTTTTCTAGCGGTTTCCTATGTCCATTTTTTTTTTTCTATTCTCTCCTGTGAGAAATCTCATTTTCTCCTAATGTTCCTGCACTCCTTTCCTTGGTGTTGAGGATTTTCTTTCCTTCTCAGAAGGCAAACATTTCTGTTAGGGTAACCGGTCCAAGTTTCCCATCCACAGCCGACAACAGACTTCCTTGTCTTAAGTTCCCTTGCTCGTACCTGCTCTCCTTCTTGGTGTCTTTGGAAGGTCTTTTTCCACCTCGTACCTGCTCTCCTTCTTGGTGTCTTTGGAAGGTCTTTTTCCACCACCCCTGCAGCTGCATCCTGACCCCTTGCAGTTCTCTGTGCTCTGCCCCGGCATCCGATGACCTCTTTCTTTTCTTCATTAAAGGTGTGTCTGAGCTCATGTGTGGATGTCTTTCCTTTCCACAGGACCTTAGCAGGTTAGTCACTGTAAGTGAGCCTGTACTTTATTAAGATAACCCCCAAATCTCAGGGGCTCCCACGCCAAGGGTCTCTCTTCCTCACACAAAGTCCAGTCGGATATTTTGCTTTAGGCGGTCCTTTGGGTTGTGTTGGGTCCTTCAGCTCTATGTAGGAGGGAGGGAGGAGGGAGAGAGAGAGGGAGAGATTTATATATACGTAAATCTCTCATATCTATCTATCTATCTATCTATATATCTATCTATCTATCTATCTATCTATCACGAGAGACTATGATGTACTGAGTCATATCTACCTGATGGACGTAAGAGGGGGACCAAAAACTCAAGCTCAGCTGGGCACCCAGGGTGGGAGGAGAACCTGAGGGGGTGTGCTCCCCATTTCCTCAGCCTCTACCCCATTTCCTCAGCTGGAAGGCAGGCTTGTGTATGGGCTCAATTACTCATCATCCTTTAAATTGGCTTTTTAATTGTTTTTGAGATAGGGTTTCTAGCCCAGGCTGCCCATGAACTACTATTAGCTGAGGACCTTGAACTTCTGACCCTCCTGCCTCTACCCTCTAAGGCTTCCACCATGCTCTTCGTTTATACGGCGCTGAGGATTGAGTACAGAGCTTCAGGCATGCTAAGTAAGTGCTCTGACTGAGCTACAGACGCTGCCCCTAAACTGGCTTTTCTTGTCCCACTGGGAACCGAAACACTTCACAAAATAGCTGATGAACCTGATCAGTGGATTTTTGCCAGACATTTTTAGATTTGTAGACTCATCAGGCTGAAGATAAGAATAGTTTACCAATGCTTTCAATACGGGCTTTAAAAAACAATTTAAATATAACGCTTATTCAACATGGAAAATGTCAGCCCTCCAAATTACGATTACTTTGATCTAACAGAGAAAAGGAAGCTAATGGTTTATTATTATTATTATTATTATTATTATTATTATTATTACTACTTTGCTAACATCTACCATGCATTTGTATAATCTGCGTTTGTTTTTTTTTTTTCCCTGCTCACTAGTCCATTCTGTGGCTATACCGTATTTCACCAAAGCATTCCATTTTCTCTGGACCTTTAGGTTGCCCTGATGTTTTGCTCTTAGAACTGCTACTGTGAAGTTTTCACAATTTTAATTTCCTGCACCTAGCCGGGCGGTGGTGGCGCACGCCTTTAATCCCAGCACTCGGGAGGCAGAGGCAGGCGAATCTCTGTGAGTTCGAGGCCAGCCTGGTCTACAAAGCGAGATCCAGGAAAGGCGTAAAACTACACAGAGAAACCCTGTCTCGGAAAAACCAAAAAAAAAAAAATTTCCTGCACCTAGAATTTTACTTCAAAGTAATTATTGGAGAACACACATTGTAAAAGCTATTAGTTTACTGCACTGCTCTTCACAAGTATCCGCCCTTCTCTTCTCTCCCATCAGATACTCTCGTTTCCCCCTAATTTGGACTTGAAAATGCTTACTTCACTGAAGCTTCCAATCGTGTTGAGCATGGTGGAGTTTCCTCTTTTGGAAACCAACTGTATTTCTCCCTTTTATGTTATTTCTTCATGTCAAGTTTATATTTTCCCATTGGAAGTCACTAACATTAAAAATGAACCATCCGTATGTTAAGCTTAGTAATCCTTCAGCTAATCAGTATTATATGAGCTTTCTATTTGTATTGGACACATCTGGCTTAGACTGATCAAGACTCTCTGGTCACTTGATGATTAATTTTGATGGTCAACTGGACACAATGCATAATCATCTGGGGAAAAGGGTCTTGACGAAGAGCTGTCTGAATTATGTTGTCTTGTGGGCAGGCCTGTGAGGGATTTTCTTAATTGGGTTAATTGGGGTGAATGTGGGTGGCACCATTTCATGGACTGGGCCACAGCCTGAATGAAAAGGAAAGAAGATGCTGAGCAGGTGCAGGCACGCATGCATTAATCCATTGCTGTCTTCTCTTGACCGTGCGTATCATGTGACTAACTCCTTCTCATTCCCAACGCCTTGACTGCCCACCATGATGGACTGTAATCTAGGATTGTGAGCATTTAAACCCACTCTCCTTCCAATTGTTTTTGTCAGGGAATTTTACCACAGTAAGTGGAAAGGAAATTAACAAAGGCACTTTGCCTTTTTTCCTTTGCTTTTCTCAGTGACAGAAGAACGAGCCACGGACTCACTTTGGAGACTTTAGACTCTTATTCAAGGGGTTGTGGATGAGAGCTTAGCTAGAAACTTGAACAGTTTTGCTTTAAGTTACAGGAGGGAGTTCAGGGTGGAGTTAGGGACAGGAGGCAGGGTTCAGACAGAGAACAACCAGAAGGGAATGGGGGAGGAAACGTTGAGAGACTGGCAGAGAATAAAAGGAGGCCCCACTTTGATTTGCAGAGGGAAAACAGCCATCGGCTGGCAGTGTGAAGGGTGTGATGGGCCAGAGCTTGCGACTGAGGAAGGGATGAAGAAACGTGATGGTGGCACCACAGAAAGGCTGCGGGTGTCTGCCACGGCCAGCTTCAGCTACAAGCCAACACGGGCTTCGTTGTTAAAATCGCTCAAGACTAGTGGGGCCCTAGTTAATATCTCCCAGTTCCATCTTAACCTCTTAGTGACTCACGGACACTTTCCCAGGATGCAATTCCATAGGAGGAGGGAGCAAAGACGAAGCCCTCGGCATCTGCTGACTAGGAGAAAACACTGAGGCTGAGGGCAGAGCAAGGAGTGGAAGAAATTTCAAAGACCTGTTACTTCTGTTTGGATGGGGTGGGATGCATTCCGGACCAAGGATTAGGGACCAGCAGGAAACGGGGAATGCAAAGGGCAGCTAATAACCTGAGGCTGTTAGTTGAGGTGGTACCACTGCAGGTGGTGAGGTGCTGAGGGAGCGAATGGTTCCTTAGGCAGGTAGGATGAAGAATGGAGGCAGCTGGGCCAGGCACTTGAATTGCTCCTGAGGACAACATTGTTTCAGCAATGCCTGTGGCTAGCCTCCATTTTAGAGGCGAAAGCTGCAGGGATGCATCTACGGTGGGACTGTCAGGCGCCTCTGCTCCCAGATCTGGGGGTCAAAACTTGCCAACTCTGCAAAAAAAAGATCCAGAGTAAAAGATACAGTTGATTTACTGTGTCTACGTTCTGGGTGGAAGTTTATGTAAAATATTGGTCAAAGATAGAGAGAGAGCCAAAAATATGACAGCAGGGATTAAATGTCAAGCCAGATGTATCTTGTGTGACCATTTCTGGATGCTGCAAACTAACATGCTGTCTTGGTTTGGAAGCATATTCATCTATTTGGAATTTTTTTACTTGAGAGGTTTGAGGATGCCATTAAAAATGATAGTTCAGGCTGGGGTGGAGCTCAGGGACAGAACATAGGCTTAGTCTGAGAGAGGTCCTGGGTCCAATTACAAGCATACATATACACACACACACACACACAAATTCAACTACTAGATTTCATAGTTATTTTTTTCCTTAAATTTTAATGTGGGAGAACAAAGAAAGGATAATTTCCTGATTTTCAATTTCTGGAAATCTTTAGAGCAATCAAAACAATTACTATTTAGAACAAAATTTGCAAACAAAAGTATGAATTTCAAATGAGGGGAATAATTATTATTAAGCACTGCCATGATGAAAAGTCTTTCTTCTTTTGACTCTCTGGTAGATCTTTAAAAATTACTTCATTTGTGTGTGTGTGTGTGTGTGTGTGTGTGTGTGTGTGTTTGCCTGTGGAGGATGGATGAGGGTATTACATTCCCTAGAGTTGGAGTTGCAGGCAGCTGTATGCCTCTGGTCATGGGTACAGGAACTGAACTCAAGTCTTCTGCAAGAGTGGTAAGAACTCTGAACCACTGAGCCATCTCTGCAGCCTCCAGGTTTTGTAAATCTTGGTAATTTCTTTCAAGTGCATTGAATTGTGATTACTGTGTTCTGAAGAGTTTTTTATTATGAAGTACATGTGGATAATATGAATTGAAAATAGGAAACCTTACTTTTAAATAACCATTGATCACTCTAATATTTTGTATTGAGTGATGTAAACTCACAAGTCAACCTAACTCCACTGTTCTGGTTGCAGTGGGTTCTGGAGAGCAGAGAACAAAGCAACCAGTACTTCCTGTATTCCAAAGAAGGGGGATAGAGGCTGAACGTACCCAGAGCACAGCAGGATCAGCTGGATCATTGTCAACCACACCGCTCACCTTCAGGCTGGCCAAGGTAAGATTAGTCCCTTGAAAGATGCATCAGAAGAACCAGGAAGATAGAAGGCAAACAGTTAAAGTCAGAGTTGTGTTAGACCAGGAGGTAAGTGCACACCTGTGTGTGTGTTTATGTCTACACACAGGTGTGCCTGTGCACCTCGGGGCGAGAAATGAGAGGCAGGACTTGAGGAGAGCTGTTCGCAGACTGAGGAGAGCAAGCCTCTCTCTCACTTTCCACCTGAGTATTTGTTGAGTCACAGAAACTCATTAACCCACTTGTGGCAGTTTCTGTTGCCATGAGACATACAAGAGATGGTCAGCTCATAACAAAGAGACATTCACTTTGTCTCACTGTTCAGTGAAGCTTCAGTCCGAGATCACTGAGCCTGTGGCAAAGTTGCACATCATGGTGGGAGCACACGGAGGGACAAGACTGCTTACCTCCTGGATGGAAGGTCTAACAGAAAAAAAAGGAGGGCAGTGTGGGGTTCCACAACCTCCTCTGAGGGCACACCCCCAAGGAAGACCTCGTAGGAAGCTCCACAAATGAAATGTCCCATTCTTCCCTAGTTGAAATACCTGACTTAGGTGAAGGGTCTTTACTCTTTCTGGAAATGATGTCAAGAATGTGAATCTCCTGTGGGCGAACCAGATATTGATGATGGAACCTAGGCTTGAGTCCTTCTTCAGGGACCTCTGTAAAAGGGTGGTAAGTTTATAAGGTTCACAAGACACAAAAGTTTGAATCCCATCCACCACCCATGTTCAGATGTACCTCAACATATCAGACTATGCTTGTTGCTTTTTCAAGGAAAATTGGTTTAGGGAAGACTGGGTACAAAGTCTCAGAAGAGTGACAACCTGGACATGGAACTGGAAAGGATGAGTAAGATCAAGGAAGAGGCATGGTGATTGGAGGGCACTGGAGATCCAGGACAGATGACTGAAGCCCTCTTTATCACACCTGTGTGCTTTGTGAGGAAGAACAATGTATGAGGGAGAAGTGACACAATGAACCATAACCTAGATGTGAATGCCCTCTGCTTTCTAAGTGATGAGAACATAAAAAGAAAGATGTTTCCTGCGTTACTTGGAGAGTAGAGGCAGTGGCCATCAGAAGATGGAGACTGTGAGACATGGCTGTGGCCAGCAGTACAGAATGAAGCCTATGGCAATATTAGGGCAGCATGGGAAAGTGGTGACACTGTAAATGTCATTGAGGTGTTGTCATTGGAGCCCAGAAAACTGAGTCATGGGATGAAGAAAGTTAAGGCATGAAGCTAGGCTGGTCATACAATTGCTTAGATATAGGAGCCCCATCCAGTCTGCCGCCATGGAGCCTCTTTGTTCTGGCTTGTTTTCCATCAACTTGACACAACTCGAGTCATTTTTTGAAAGAGGGAACCACAGTTGAGAAAGTGCTCTAGCTAGATTGGCCTGTAGGCAGGCCTGTGTTGACTTTTCTTGATTAATGATTGATGTGTGTGGTGGGGGGTCCAGCCCACTGTGGGCAGTACCATCTTTGACAGGAGGTCCTGGGGTGTATGAGAAGGCAAACTGGGCAGACCACTAAACAGCACTCCTCCACAGTCTCTACATCGATTCCCACCTCCAGGTTTCTGACTTGGGTTGCTCCCTGACTCTCCTGGATGATAGAATGCAAACTATAAGATGAAATTACCCCTTTCCTCCCCAAGTTGCCTTTGGTCATGGTGTTTTATCACAGCAATAGAAACTCAAACACACTCTTTAGAAGCCTAGGAACAGAGAAATTGGAGGATTGCAATCTAGGGGACAGGGTATAGGTGGGGTTTTTCCTTGGGACTCCTGGATCCCCAGTAAACAACATGGAAGACTTATTATTAATTATAAATGCTCTGCCAATAGCTTAGGCTTGTTACTAACTAGCTCTTACACTCAAATTAACTCATATTTATCAATTTATGTACTGACATATGGCTTATGGCTTATTACCTCATATTCTACACATCCTGCTTCCCCTGTGTCTGGCTGGCAATGCTGCCCTTCTTCTTCCCCACATTTTCAGCTTGGCTCTCCCGCCTAACCTCTTCCTGCCTAGCTATTGGATAGTTAGCTCTTTATTAAACCAATGAGAGCCACAGATCTTCACAGTGTACAACAGGCTTACTCCATAGCAAGAGGCGGCACTTATTTAAGCAGTTTAGATGAATAGCATTATAGTGTTCTGTTAGGGCCCTGTGATGGTTAATTTTCATTGTCAACTTGGCTGGATTTAGAATCATTAAGAAATGTGCATCTGAGCATGCCTGTGAGGATGTTTCCAGAGAGGGTTTGCTGAGGGAAACCAACCCTAAATGTAGGCAGCATCATGAGGTTCCAAACTGAAAGAGAAGGAGAAAAGGAGAGAGGAACCAGCACTCATCTCTGCTTCCTGAGTGTGGACCTGGCATGAATAGCCACTTCATGCTCCTGCTGCTGTGACTCTGTGACTTCCTGTCGTGATGGACTGTGCCCTCTAACTGTTAGCCAGAACAAACCCAGAAGTTATTTTTAAAAGGCGTTTTGCCATAGCAACAGGAAAAGTAAATAATACAGCCCCTCAAACCGGGCTGGCATTTGGGGTTCCTTGGATTATGCTGTAAGTGTGAGCATGACCCACCCCAAGAGTGTATTTCTTTAGAATGTTACCACTGTTAACTCATGAGTTAGCATCACAGAAACGTGAAGAAGATGGATTAGTTTGGCAACCTTTAGCGTCCAGTAGGTGCGTTTCCCCCTCTCACTGTGATCAAATACCCGGCAGAAGCAGCTTAAGCCCAAGAACTCGGTAAAACTCAGAAGACTAGAAGCTGATTGGAACCAGAATGGCCAGTCACAGCAGGAAAGGCATGGGTCTGGCACAGGTCCATGGGAGCCTCACATATTAGTGGCAGTCTGACAGCAGAGACAGACTTGGGGACAGAACTGACATCACCCTCAACACCTGGCCCTAGGTGGCTCCACATGCTGAAGGTTTAACAGCAAAAACACCAGCAGCTGGTAACCAGGGCATTCAAGCACATGGGCCTGTAGGGGACATTTTTCCATTCAAATTGTAACTGTAGGCCCTTGAAGAAAGTTTGTGCAGACTGTTATGTAGGATTTAAATCCCCCAAATTAACATGAAACTTAACATGGAGTGGGTCTGTAGCTGAGCAGCACGCGCATGACCTGTGCCCCTGCTTTTGGGATACTTCATTTACTTCCTGCCTGAGAAAACTGCTTGCAAAATATAGTCCCCCAGAGAGACCTCACGGTAGGACCACAGCCGGTCTTATTGGAAAGAAGGGACACCAGTGTGTGTATTTGAGACCTTCTCTCTTTCCATAAGCTAAATTTCCTACATGGCCTAAGGTCAATGCACAGCTTTTGATATGTGCACTTGCCCATTGTAACCCGGAGGAAACTTGATCTCTCCGTCTAGGGGAATTTCAGCAGTGTGAGAGCTTCACCTCCTCACCCCTTTCTTCTCTGCACTCTTCCCCTCCTGCCCTGTTTTGTTGAGGAATTTTCTTTTGTCTTCTGCTTCTGCTTCATTTGGCCAGCTCTGGTCTCTGGCACCTGGGATGGCCCGAATATGCATTTGTGTTTGCTGAACTGCACTGTGCCCAGCCAGGCAGGGATGATCGTGCCTCCTTGTGGCTTCACCCCTGCAAATTGCTCAGTCATTTGCTGCTTAATCCTCCAGGGCTCTTTGTCCTGGAGGCAATGCCACCTCATTGGGACCCTGGGTTTTCCGGTTGAGAAAGCAACATTACATGACTTGTTGGAGGACACAGGTTGAGTGGAGAGTCGGTCTGCTCTGCCCAGGCAGACTCGTAACTGAAAATAATAGTCGGGGAGCCAAATAGGGAGAGCGAGTTGAGCTGAAATGGAGCTGGGGTTTTCAGGATTTTAGGAAACCCTGACACCTTAAACTAAAGGTTCATTGGCCAAAGACTTCTTGGGAGCAGGGACCACAGAAAGAAGCCTGTAAAGTCAGATTTCTGAGGGCTGGAGGTGATTTTAAAGAGGTGATTTTAAGCTCAGTGTCATCCTGCATCCCTTGGTTCTTTCAAGTGGTTAACTTATGTAATGAGTCAGTACTAGAATCTCAGTTTGATCTCCAGCCCTGCAAAGGTTTCCTCTCTGCTCATATTACTTCTCCCACATTTTGAATAAGAGTGTGCTTGTTTTCTGTCTTGCTAACACATTGTAGGTCATTAGACTTTTGGAATTCCTTACTTTTTCCCCTTCTATCTTTTTCTGATCTTCCCTCTGTCATAGTGGTTGATAAAGAATTAGCAGACCACACCTCTGGGCATGCTTGGGCCAGTATTTCCAAGGAGGGTTAGCTGAGAGGAGAGGGTCTGCCCTGAGTGGGGTAGCCCACATCATAGATTGGAGATCTGGATGGCAGCAAAGGAGAAAAAGGAACATAGCAGAGCAGGCATTCTTTTGCTTTCATTACATCGTAGCCACCATGATGAAAGTCACTCAGTTCCTCCATGCTCCCTCCCTCTACTGGGAAGGACTGAGCTCTCTGAAACCCTGAGTCAAAGCATACCTTTCTTCATATTGCCCCTTTTAAGTATTTGGTCACAAAAACTAAGAGTCTAACACAGAAAACTGACCTCAGAATGTCAGCCTCCCTGCAGCGACAGATCCAGACTATGCATCTCTGGAGGCTTTGGAGCTGGTTTGCAGGAGGAATTTGGGGAAACTTGGAGGTGTGGTTTAGAGAAGCCCTAAAATGTGGTAAGCAGAGCCTAATGGACAGATCTGGTTGAACCTAGAGGATTGTCAGCTCCTAGGAATGAAAATGGAAAAGACTACACTCATCAGCCTTCAAATGGGAAGGAGAACTCCACTGGGAACTGAGTAGGGCCATACTGTCCCTGCCTAGAGAGCTTGTGTGAGATTGAACTTAAAGCCCATGGAGTAACTGAATGGACAGGAAATGTGAAGGCCATCCATCATCTGCATGGTTATTGTGGGCTGCTTTTAGCCCCGAGTTTTCAGTAAGAATTGTGAGAAGAAACCAGAGAGGAAAGGTTCAGTGAAATTGCAGTTTGCCCAGAGAAAAAGCTCTTACAAAGTTGGGGCCGAGTCAAGTGGCTACTGAAGAGATTAGGACCATTAACAAAAGAGGCCAGGTGCTGGGTTTCAGGGCAATGTGCAGGACGCTTTGAGGGCACCGTGGAGATTGCCAGGGTGCTAGACACTGAAGGTTTGAGAGACTGCTTGAAGAGAGAGCTCGAGGATGCCCTGAGCTCTTCCCTCCCGGCCCTCTTCCTCGCTAGTGCCTCTTGCTGCTGCGAACAGAACTTCTCTGCTCTGCCACATCCTCCTCACCATCGTTGACTGAAAAGTTTGAAAGTGTGACTCCAAATACATGTCTCCTCCTTTAAATGTTTTTTCTCAGGTGTTCGGTTACAGTGAGGAAAAGTCTATGGCCTACCCGTGTTCCTTCCATTTCCAGGAAAGCGACCCCACTTTTCTTCCCGGGGGAGCCTCACTGTATCCCCCTCCTACCCTTGGCTTGCACTTTGACTCATCCTCTTAGGGATGACTTCGTCTCTCCCCAGCCTATTCCTCTCTGGCATGGCAAGGCCTCTGTTCGTTATCTGCGGCACTCACTGCTTTACCTTGCTGCTTGATCTGAGCACCCTTTCCTTCTTGGACGCCCGTGGCCCACGCCTCTTGTCTCTCTCTTCCTGACCTCCACCCTCCGCACACTGAGCCTCACTCTCGCATCCCAGGTACAGACGCTGCATTTGCTCCAACTGTTTTTTTCACTGTCCTAATTACTTTTCAGTTTTTGTGGAGAGACGCCATAACTAAAGCAACTTGGAGTAGTAGAGAAAGTTGACTGGGACTTCCAGTTTCGGGGTTAGTCAGAGTCCATGATGATCATTGCGAGGAGGCTGGCAACAGGTTGGGGAGGCAGGCTTGGAACTGGAGACTCCTCCAAGTCCACACCTTCTAATCCTTCCTGAACAGATCCGCCAACTGGGGACCAAGCATTCGAATGTATAAGTTTGTGGGGGGCCGTTCTCATTCAAACCACCACAGTTACCGATGTCCAATACTTGGGCATAACCAGTTTTATCACCCCTTCCCCCCTCCACTCCCCCCCCCACTTGTCTTTGTACATGGTTATTTCTGAATTGTTTCCATCCAGATTATCACGTGCCCTCGGGAGTTTTTTCTCATTTATTCAGTATTATAACAGTCCTTGGCTCTGTGTGTTTTCCCTTGTCTCTTTCACAAGCCCCCTTTATTCAAAGGTGTGTCCTTATCTTCTTTATGACCCCTCAAAGACCCACTTGCCGCCTTTCTTTTACACTGACTTACAGTTGTGACACAGCACCGAGGTCTCCACCTTCACCCTGAAGACGTCCATTGTATCCCAGTTGCTAACTTCAGACATGTGACTGGACATTTCCAAACTGAAGTCGCAGCGGTAGTTGAAGCTGGAATTATGTGAAATGGAACTCACCATCTGCCTTCTGAACTCGTTCCTGTTGATGCTGTTGCTGACTGGTACACCTAAGCCGTCCTGGGGCCTTGGTTCTTCTATGTCCTACCATCCAGGTCTCTCCCTTCCCTCCATCCCTGGGCTGAGCTCTACCCTCGACCTTCTGCCCTGGTCCTGATGTGGTGTGTGCTTTTGACCTCTCCTTCCTCAGCCCCATCCCACTGCTTAACTAACTTCCCTGGCCTCCACAGCTCCCTTCTCCAGCCATTGCTTTTTTCTGGTGGAATTTTCCACATCTCCACATGCAGGGATGACAGTTACTTGGATTCTATCACTTCCTGGCTCAGAAATTGTCTGTTTTTAAAAATTGCTTTTGAAATCCCCTCCAAGTGTTCTGTCTCTGGATCTCTCATGGCTAGCTCACCTTCCTGCCCATGTCCAGGGTCCCTGCTCCATTCAAATGTGAAGTCCCTTGGGCACTCCTTGTTCTTCCCCCGACACTGTCCTTTCTGTTTGGCATTTCCTTCGGTAGCACTGTTCTCTGTTCTCCAGTGGTCAATGCTTTTTTTCTTCATGTCTGTATACTATCCAATGCAAGGGTCCACCTGATGAAAGCAAGGGTGGAAGTGATCTCTACCCTGTCCCAGCAGTCATTACTGTCCCAGCAGTCATTACCGTCCCACTAGTCACCATGTACTGTGTGTCTCTCTGGTGGGTTCCCAGTCCATGCTGTTCGGCCTCAGCTGCACAATAGAGCCACCTGGGAGTTCTTAAAAACACCGCTACACAGGCTTCATCCCTGACCAATTAAATCAAAGGCTTGGGGGGCTGTGAATCAGTTATTAGAATTTTTTAAAAAAAATCTGGTCAAGGGGTTCCTCTGTCAAACTAAAGAATGTGTTTACGAATACTGGACGTTTTTGTAGAATATATTTCGGGTGCTGCGTTTGTCTCCTTTGTTCTGGTGGAATTTTGTTTTTAAGTCTCCATTGTTTCTTTGAAAATACTGTATTTTACTTTTAATTATGTGTATGTGTGTGTGTGTGTGTGTGTGTGTGTGTGTGTGTGTGTGTGTGTTGTATGTGGGGGATATGTATATGTGCGAGTGCAGGTACCACAGAAGTCCAGAGGAGGGCGCCGGATCCCCTAAAGTTGGAATTACAGGAGGTTGTGAGCCTCCTAACATGGGTGCAGGGAGTCGAACTCAGGTCTTCTGCAAGAGCGGCACCCATTCTTAACCACTGTGCCATCTCTTCAGCCTCTGCAAGTGTTTCTTCTGCTCAGTGGACCTTAAAAGAAAACAGAAAACACCTTTAAATGAGTTTAGAAAAGGATATGAAAAGTCAAATTTTAAGAGGAATTCAAATGAGGTCAATGGCTAGCCCATGCTGGAAATGATGAATTCAGAGTCTTATTGCATATTAACCCGTTTGGGTATTTGGTAGAATCCATGTGTATCAGAGCACTGAATAACACTAACAAAGCATTTATTTAGTGAGGTTATGCCTTGCCTTTCTATAGTAGCAATTAGCATAACACTAATTGAGTGAGTGTTTACTGTATTTCCCAGGGTGTTATTAAGGTTAAATGAGTAATTGGAAGGGGGGTGGGGAGTGGATATAATACAAATACATTGTATACATGTGTAAGATTCTCAAAGAATTAATGAGAGTATTATTTTAAAAAAGATTACCTGAGTAAAATGGGATGAAAAGTATGACGTGTATCAGGTACTTTATAGGACTTTTGTGGCACATAGTAGGACCTAATGGAAATTCTGTTTTCCTTAAGGGACCCGAGGTATCAGAATGGCCACATTAGACACAGTAGACATCTTCATAGTATTGTCCAGAATGGCCACATTAGACACAGTAGACATCTTCGTGGTATTGTTGAGAATATTTCACTGTACTGTGGACAGGAATGCATTATTTTCAGTTTGGTCCCAGGGTTGTGCATTTGTCTTGACCCATGCGATATGTTCCTTTATCTTCTCCTGTTCCTCTGCAGTGTCTTTGTAATAAAATCTGCTCACTAGGTACAGTTTAGATCAAACAGAGTGGGTACAGTGATATAACAGTCTGACTGTCCCTCGAAAGACAGTGTGGGATTAGCACTGCTGACTGTCTTCCAAGGAAGTCACAGAGTCATTTGAAAGCATTTTGAAATAGACCTCCAGCTGCAGATGTTCCTGGAAATTCAGTTTGAGAGGCTGAACGCTTGAGGGTGGGGGAGGCTGTTTATTTTGTTTCTTTGTTTTGTGTAGATTGCTTGGATTCTTCACAGTGGTCTCATTCTATATACAATCCTCTACACCAGACTTCACATCTTATTAAAGATCATCCTAGAAATCTCTAAGCCATGGCAGCTACAAGAATAATAACAACCCCAGGTGAGGTTCCCTTGTCTACCTGTCTACAAATAGTGCACTTGGTATAGTATGATTTTTCAGTTGTCTTTATTATTATTATTATTGTTTTTGAATTAACTGAAATTCAAAGTGTAAAACTGGGTCCTCTGCTTCTCCATGCAGAAATAAATGCCCTAAATGCTGCTGGACTGGAGCTGAAATGTGCCAGTTGATGTTGAGGGCTTTTACACTGCAGTAAAATTATATTTATGCAGTGAGAAGGAAGCCTAATTCTTATGTATTTCCTAGAAGCCAGCTGAAGTTTTGAGGGAAGACTGTGTGACCATTGTTAATCACCTAACCCATGCTGCTTCTGAAAACTGGTTTATTCAATACAGAGGGCTAAAGGCAGAGACTAGATCATGTGGGGTTAAGAATGACAGACAATGATTGCCTAACACTGAAATATAAATGTGTTGACATATTTAAAGACATTTTGTGTGCATTAGGAGTGTTGTATGTAGTGTACTTGTTAGTATGGGTATGTGCATGTGTGTGTGTGTGTGTTGTGTGTGTGTGGAGGCCTGAGGTTGAGAGGTTAAGTGTCTTTCTTTTTCTTTTTCTTTTTTTTTTTTTTTTTTTTTTTGAGACAGGGTTTCAAAAAACCCTTTGTGTAGCTTTGGAGCCTGAGTGTCTTTTCTTGATCATTCTACATCTTTATTTTTTCTTCTTTTCAGACAGGATCCTCACTGAACCGAAGCTCACTGATTCCACTGACTGACTGGCCAGTTAGCTCCTGGGATCCTCTGGTCTCTGCACCACCAATGCTAAGATTACAGGCTTGTGTGGCAAAGCTCAGTTTTTTAAAAATTTATTTTATTTTTTATTTCTTTCATTTTTTTTTTTACATGAGTGCTGGAGATTGGAACTCAGGAATTCACACTTGTTCTGTGTGCACTTCCTCAGCAGAGCCCTCTCCCAGCTTTATGGGCTGACATATTTTAGTACCTTGTCTAGATAGCTAACTCTTCAAAAAAAACAAAAACGGGCTTTTAAAAATAGTAAGTACATTTTACCTCAGCTCAGCCTCAGCTCCCTGACTTTTCACTTGCTGTCCCCCGTTTGAGACTCTGGGTAACCCCTCAGACTTTTGTTCCTTCCTTTGCTGACTTCTGTTACAGATCTCTTTCCCCTTGGACCGCCGCCTCTATGGGTTTCCAGCCCTTGCGATTTTGCTTCCCAGATCCAGAGCTAAGGAGCCAGTTTACATTCCATCCTTTCCCCAAAGCCCTTCTCCTATTTTGCCCACCCCTTCTTGTCTACACTTATTAAAGGGGAAAAGGAATGTATTACTTTGGCCTAAAAAATTTCTTTTAGAAAACATAGTATTTGGAAGAAAGGGACCCATCCTAATTCCTACCTGGGAAGACCAGGTGATTTCATACAATAATTTTGTGCTTGTTCACTGAGGAAACCAGTGATTGGATCCCAGTGCCCCTATGTGCTTCAGGTACAAGATTCAGTGTAGGGGACCTCCCATTAGATGAGGAACCCAGGTGAGGGTCTGTTTGAGGACCTCTGAAATCTTCATTTCTCTCTTTATTCTCAGTTTTGGCCAATGGTCCTTTTAGAGAAATAAATATCTTACTTTGTTCGGATAATGTGTATTAATTGTACGTGTTAATGTGTTTCAGTGTATTATTTCACATCCTGATTAAATCTTTTCCCTTAAATTTCTCCACCCAGATTTCCCAGTCTCTACTTATGAATGTTCTTCATATGGCTGTTCTGAACTTCTGTTTATGAGAGAGGATGTGTGACACTTAGCTTTTTCTGTGACTTATTTCATTTAATACAATGTCCTTCAGCTTCACTCCCATTTTGCTGCAAATGACAGGATTTTGTTTGTTTTATAGTTGAGTAATATCCATGTAGCTGCATCTATATATAGTTCATTTTCTTCTTCTGCTCATCTGCTGCTGGTCCTCTTGGCTGATTCCATGTTAGCTGTTATGAAGAGTGAGTGCCTTGATGTACACAGGTTTACAGGTACTCCTTTGCCATGAAGATTGCTTCAGAAGTAGTGTAGTTGGAACATACACAATTCTAGTATTTGGAAGAGCCTCCATCCTATTCTCTAGAATGGACAGGTTAATTTCCTTCCCTGTCAACTGTGTATGAAGTACTGCTCTTTCCCACATTCTTTCCAGCATTTGTAATTTTTTGATAACTATTAAAACTGGAGACAGTATCTCATTGTAATTTTAATTCAATTTCCTGATGCTAATAATATTGGGTACTTTTCATACATCTATGTCTATATTTCGTGTTTTTAATTCTATGATGCAGCCTTAGTATTTTGAAATTACAAAGAAGTTTAGGTCTGTGTAGTGACCTGCTTCTATATTCTGCAAGTGGGAAGATGGGATTTTACAAGAGATCTTACAGAAGGGTGAATGCTCTCTCACAGAATCTTTTTCTCAATATTTGGTAAATTAGATCAGATGTGTTTTTTCTACCCTTGACACCATCTCCCTGTGAAGGGTGTGAACCAAAACTCAATAAACCAACCAAGATGTTACCACTTAACTTAAAATCTAGTGCGAAGTTTTATCCTAAGTGGAGAAAAAAGGAACTATTATAGGCAGAATTCAAAGTGCCCTTGATGGGTGTTATGTTGGCTATACTTATGTCAACTTGACACAAAATATAGTCATCTGATAGGAGGGAACCTTAGTTAAGAAAATGCCTCCATAAGATCAGGCTGTAGTCAAGCCTGTAGGTCATTTTCTTAATTAGTGATTGATGTAGGAGAGCCCACCCCATTGTGGGTGGTGCCACCCTGGGCTGGTGGTCCTGGGTTCTATAGAAAGCAGGCTGACCAAGCCATGACGTAGCAAGCTAAAAAGCAACACCTCTCCATGGCTTCTGCATCAGCTCCTGCCTCCAGGTTCCCACCCTGTTAGAGTTCCTGCTCTGGCTTCTTTTAGTGATGGACTATAATATGGAAGTCTAGGCCCAATGAACACTTTCCTTCCAAACTTGCTTTTTGGTCATGGTGTTTCTCCGAAGCAAGAGAAACGACAGCTAAGACAGGTGCTATGCGTGTCACTTTCTTCTTCCTTTCCAATTTGCATTCCCTTGATCTCCTTTTGTTGTCTTATTGCCCTAGCTAGAACTTCCAGTACTATATTGAATAGGTATGGAGAGAATGGACAGCCTTGTCTTGTTCCTGATTTTAGTGGAATCACTTTGAGTTTCTTGCCGTTTAGTTTGATGTTGGCTGTCGGCTTGCTGTAAATTGCCTTTATTATGTTTAGTTATGTTCTTTGTATCCCTGATCTCTCTAAGACCTTTATCATGAAGGGGTGTTGGATTTTGTCAGAGACTTTTTCAGCATCTAATGAGATGATCATGTGTTTTTTTTTCTTTCAGTTTGTTTTTATGGTGTATTACATCGACAGATTTTTGTATATTGACCCATCCCTACATCTCTGGGATGAAGCCTACTTGATCATGGTGGATGATTTTTTTTTGATGTGTTCTTGGATTTGGTTTGCTAGTATTTTATTGAGTATTTTTGCATCAATGTTCATGAGAGAGATTGATCTGTAAGTCTCTTTTGTAGTTGTGTCTTTATGTGGTTTGGGTATCAGGGTAACTGTAGCCTTGTAAAAAGTTTGGCAATGTTCCTTCTGTTTTTATTGTTTATAACAGTTTCAGGAGTATTGGTATTAGCTTTTCTTTGAAATTCTGGTAGAATTCTGTGCTGAAGCCATCTGGCCCTGAGCTTTTTTTGCTTGGGAGACTTTTGATGATTACTTCTATTTCCTTAGGAGTTATATAGGTCTATTTAAATTGTTTATCTGATCTTGATTTAATTTTGGTATCTTGTACCTTTCCAAAAATTTGTCCATTTCTTTTACATTTTCCAATTTTGTGGAGTACAGGTTTTCTAAGCATGGCCTAATGATTGTCTGGATTTCCTCAGTGTCTAGTTTTGTCATGAAATATCTTGTTTTCTCCATCTATGGTGATTGAAAGCTTTGCTGGGTATAGTAGTCTGGGCTGGCATCTGTGGTCTCTTAGTATCTACAGAATGTCTGTCCAGGACCTTCTGGCTTTCAGAGTTTCTATTGAGAAGTTGAGTGTAATTCTGGAAGGTGTGCCCTTATATGCTACTTGACCTTTTCCCTTTGCTGCTTTTAATATTCTTTCTTTATTCTGTATGTTTAGTGTTTTGACTATTATGTGGCAATGGGACTTTTTTTGTGTGGCCTAGTCTGTTTGGTGTTCTGTACACTTCTTGTACCATCATAGGCATGTCTTTCTTTAGATTGGGATAGTTTTCTTCTATAATTTTGTTGAATATATTTTCTGTGCCTTTGAGCTGGAATTTCCCCCCCTCTTCTATCCCTATTATTCTTATGTTTGGTCTTTCCATGGTGTCTCAGATTTCCTGGATGTTTTGTATTAAAAATTTGCTGGATTTAACATTTTCTTTGACGAATGAATATTTCCTCTATTGTAGCCTCAATGCCCGAGATTCTCTCTTCCATTTCTTGTATTCTGTTGGTTATATTTGCCTCTGTAGTTTCTGTTCATTTACTCAGATTTTTCTTTTTCCTGAATTCCCTCAGTTTGTGTTTTCTTTATCGCTTCTATTTCAATTTTCAAGTCTTGAACTGTTTCCTTCACCTGTTTGATTGTTTTTTTCTCGGTTTTCTTGACTCTCTTTAAGAGATTTCTTCCATTTTTTTTTTTTTTTTGGTTTTTCGAGACAGGGTTACTCTGTAGTTTTGCGCCTTTCCTGGAACTCACTTTGTAGACCAGGCTGGCCTCGAACTCACAGAGATCCTCCTACCTCTGCCTCCTGAGTGCTGGGATTAAAGGCGTGCGCCACCACCGCCCGGCTTTCTTCCAATTTTTTATTGATCTTTTCCTCCATTTCTTTAAGGGAAGTTTTCATTTCCTCTTTTAGGGTCTCTATCATCTTCATAAAGTTGTTTTTAAGGTCATTTTCTTCTGGATCATCTGCTTTGGGATGTTTAGGTCTTGCTGTTGTAGGATCACTAGGCTCTGGTACCGTATTTTTCTTTACATTGTTAAATGTGTTTTTACATTGCAATCTACCCATTTCTTCCTTTAATCTGAACAGGTGGTGCTCTGGGTCACTCTTCTTCCAATTGGTTCAGGTGGGTCCTCTGGATCCCGTGGTTCTTCTTCCCAATTCGTCCAGGAAGGGGCATATGGCCCCAATGCGCTGGTGCCTCAGGGGATGGTTGTTGAGGGGGTAGGGGTGGGAAGAAGCTGCTGCCCAGTCTCTGGGGCTCCCCTGGCTGGGGAGAGGGGCAAGGAATGTGCCCCTGGGGTCTAGGGGACTGACCTGTTCCTAATCACTGTAGGGTGGGCGTATGGCTCTGGTGGTCACTGGTGCCACAGGGATGGTTGGCTTGTGTGTCACTTTCTTTATTTGTTTCCCAAAAGAGCAACCGATTGGAGTAGAAAAGCAGGCAGAATCTACCACTTGTCTTTAATTTCTTTGTTCGCTCACTTTCCCCTGTAGATAAGCATGTAAATGACAGACACTTTGATAAGACTATTTTTTGTTACACTTTTGCTGAAATAAATCATATACCATACAGTCCACCCACTGCAAACAAGTAGTTCAGTGGTTTTAGTACATTCACATGCTGTGCAACCATTATACCATGATCTGCTTTAAAACATCTCTATCCTCAAAAGAAGCCCGGAAATTAGCCATCACCCTTCAGTAGCCACTTATCTCCTTTCTGGTTTTGTAGATTTAACTTTTTTTTTTTGGATGATTCATGTAAAAGGAAAAATACAATGTGTGGTCTATCATGCCTGGGTTTTATTTTCTTTTAGTATAAGTTTCAGCATCTATCCATGCTATAGCATGTCTCAATACTTCATTTATTTTATTGTTTATATATACCATAGTTTGTTTATCCACTCATCAGTTTTTGACTATGTAATGTGGGTAGGGAAGCTTGTATATAGATTTTTTATTGTTGTTTTTAGAGTTAAGTATATACATATATGCATACATTTCTATTGGATACAGACATAAGAACAGAATTTCTAGGTCAAATGACAGCTGTATAATCAACTTTTTGAACTATTAATCTACATTGTTTATAGAAATTATGGCATCATTTTATAGGCCTGCCAATAGCATAAAGAAAGGGTTTCCGTTTTTCCATAGTCTTGTGGTGGTTTGAATGAGAATGTCCCCCATGAGCTCAGATATTTGAACATCTGGTTGGTAGTTCTGTTTGGGGAGTTTAGGAACCTTTAGGAGGAACAGTCTTGCTGGGAAGCCCACCACTGGGGAATGAGCTTTGAGTGCTTATAGCCTTGTTCCACTTGCAAATCACTCTCTGCTTTGTGTTTGTGGTTGGAGATGTGATCTCTCAGCTCTCTGCTTTGGCTACCTGTTGCCATTCCTTCCCTGCCATCACAGACTCTCCTCTAGAACTATAAGCCTAAATAAACTCCTTCTTCCATAAGATGCTTTGGGTTGTGGTGCTTTATCACGCATGGCAATAGAAAAGTAATTGGTACACTTGCCAACACTTGCTATTATTTATCTTTTTTTTTTATTAAACCAACTACAGGATGGGAAATGGTATTGCATTGTAGGGTTCATCTGCATTACTGTAGTTTGCACCACCAGTAATTTTTGGCATCTTTCAGTATGTTCAGTATCCATTTACAAAATTCTTTGTTGAGAGCTATCTTTAGGGAAAATGTTCTTATTAGTAAATCTGATGGATAAAAGATGGTAAGGATTGTTATTAGGAGATTAACACTTCAATAAGAGAATCCAAGGAAATTATTTAATTCTATATTACTTTATTTTATTAAGAATATTAGAGGGAACAAGAATATATGCATAATTATATATGCATATTGGCATACAGAATTATGTATCTGAAGTACATACACATAAGTTTGATTCCTTACTTTCTCAAAAAATATTTGTGCTAATTGAAGATGATTTTGAACATGGGTACCTGTTCAGTCAGTCTCTGCCTGGGATAAAGCCATTGTGCTCAGATATACAGGATCTTAGGATATACCAAATGAAGAAGACAGGCTAAATAACTTTGAGACAACCAGCCCACTGTGGGCAGTGCCACCCCTGGGCAGGTGGTCCTGGGTGGTATAAGAAAGCAGGCTGAGCAAACCATAGAGAGCAAGCCAGTGAGCTGCATTCCTTCATGGCCTCTGCTTCAGTTCCTGCCTCGGCTTCCTTTGACGGTGGACTATAAACTCTAAGCTGAAGTCAACTCTTCGTTCCCCACATTGTTTTGGGTCATGGTGTTTATGAGAGCAGCAGAGAAGCAAGCTAGAACACGCGGTGGCTGATAGACGTACTAAGAGTTATTACCACTGTGCTTTCACTACTGTTGGCACACTGATTCACCCGTTTGGTGCTTGGCTGTGCTCACCAGGATCGTGTAGTGTGGAAAAGGAGGAAAAGCGGTTGTGCACAGAGCTGGGCCCCCCACCTCTAGATAGAGGTGATAGGAGTCCGGCTGGGCAGGAGAGAGAATGAATGGCCAGATAGGAGGACAGAAGCTGGCTGTGTGAGAGCACACTTGGGGCTGATAGGCGTGCCGGAGAAAACTCAGAGCAGGAGGTTATGGGAAGACAATAGAAAATTTAAGTGAAATACTTCAGAGGGGGAATGATCACATATAAAAATAGGTATTTTTTAGGGATATAATTGATCTACTTATGAGGATGATACCTAAACTATCCATGAAAATCCCTTACTGCCTTGGAATCATCCCCTTCCCCGGAAGAAGCAAGTGAAAGATCTGAGAGGCTAGAACAGAGTTCTGAGACCCCGTCAGTATGAGCTTGGACTCGCGATAGTGAACCAAATGCTGGACTTTTAGATGAATGAAGGGAGCATCTGGGAAGCATGGTGGATCAAGATGAACACACTGTAGCAGAGTAGGGAAGGAGAACGATCTAGAAGGTATCTCAGGGATAAGACAGTTTATCCAGCCTTTCAGTCTTGACTTTGAGGGCTGTGGAGGAATGTACAGTCTTTCCTTGAGATGGAGAAGCAGGGAACACCCTGCCCTTGAGGGCCTGCCAGGCTTCCCTTCAGGTCAGGAAGGCCAAGGGCTCCTTCCAAAGGGTGAGTATGGAGAGCCCCTGTGGTCCCTAAAGTAAGGGCTACAAGGTTCTCACGGCAGCTGTGGAGTGGGGAGGAAAAGACAGTATGTGCACCTCAAATGGGGTTCACTTTCTTCTTTGGGGGTTTATATATGAATGGTACCAGCGATTACATGAGCTCAAGGAGGTATGTGATAGCAAGAATCTGTCCTTAAACATCATCTTCATGGTAACCCAAAACTTGCCGTAGGAAGAAATACTTTCCATTGAAGACGAGATTGTTGAAGTTGGATTTTGGTTCATAATTTTTTGAGATGTGGGATATCTGCGAACCTTGGCCCCTGAGTTCTGTGGGTATCCTCTCCCCTCTCTGGCCCTGCAAACATGAGTGATAAACTAACTTGTGTTACCCAAACTTGAGCAATCTCAGTCAGCTTATTACCCACACCCCACTGCATTACTAATGACTCAGTCTGTCTTACTATCTATCTTGACTCACCCATTACTGGACTGAACTCCCCTTTGGGCAGGAACTGTGTGTATTTAAATTCTTTCATATTCTGGGCACGTCTCAATGTGCTAGGCATGTGGTAGGTGTGGAATGGATTCATATTTGGTAAATCTGGGTATCCACATGGATTACACAGGTGCTGTCTCATCTGCCTAAGGGGTGTCAATTGCCCCCTAGTCATTTGAGGATCCTTATCTACAATCTCTTTTGTAGCTTTGTCATCTCACAGGAGAGCTTGCAAAGCATTCTGGGGAAGAAAATCAAAAGGATCATCTGATCTTGACACCATCCCTGAATCCTTCCCCTTACTTCTAACTCTCTTCATTTTTTTTTTTTTTTGTAATTCTGCCTCCAAAGTTTGATGGAGTCAACTTTGATACTACTCGACATTATTTTCTGCTTGAAAAAAATCAGAAGCAAATTATAATTTTGGTAACTGGCTTCTTGTCTTACGTTGTATACTGAGATGAGTACATCTGGATTACTCCATTTAATTTTCACAACACTCCCTGTGATGACCACTGTTATAACTCTGTTGTGTATGGAAGGAAATCCAGTCACCTGAGTATGGTGTGCCCTAGAGTATGGGAATAGCGGTGCTGAAATCTTTGCCAGAGGCTATTTGAGGCTAGGACTGATGCCCCTAATACTAAACTTTTCTCCAAGTTCATGTCCCTAATTGCAAACTTTTCTAGAACTTCCTATTGTAGGACCCACTTCTGGTCTTCACGCATTCAACAACCCCCACCCTCAAGTCGCCTGTTTACCACAGCATGCCCAGTCCCATGTCCCCTGGCTTCTTTGTTACTGTCAGTTGTTTCCATGATTCTTAGAGACAGTGCGCTCTCTGCTCCGTCCTGTCCTCTGTCCCTGGGTTTTTCAGGCCGAGGAGTACCCTGGATGGTTCTCCAACAAACTTTCTCTTTCTGGCTCTTTCCATTCAGATGTCTCCACCATTTCCAGGCTTAGCTAATGAGGAGGACCTTGTATTCGGGAAGAGTTTCTGACTTTTCATGTACATGGACTGAACTATTAGTTTGAGTTTGTTCATTTGCTAAGTAGCCATGAGATTACTTTGCTTAGCTAGGAGATTTCATGTGGCAAGCTATGAATGTTCATGAGTCTTGAACCCTTCCTTTACAGACCTGTTGTATAAGTGGCTTTCTACAGCTTGGCATTCTGCATCCTTAGAGTCAACAACTGTGAGTGGAAAATATTTGAGAAAAGTTGTGTCTTTTTTCATCATTATTGCTTAAGCAATATAGTCTAACAACTGCAGCCACACTGTATTAAACATTCTAAGTGTCACTTTAAGTATATGGGAGCATATGCATAGGTCATATGCAAATATAATCTCATCCTGTGTAGGGGGCCTGAGAGCACCCTTGAGTCTTAGCATGTGTGGACCATTCTGGAACCAACCTCTGTAGTTTCTGAGAGGTGACTACAGTGGATGCTGAGGGTACTTCTTGAAGCTTCTAACATGTGAGTCAAGGGAAGCTCAAGGTGAGACCTTCCATTGTTTACTTTCTGATCAGTCCACATTAGCCATTTTTCTCTTCTCTTTCTTATTTATACTGAGGTTCAAGCACAGTCTTTAGTGAGACCTAGTTTAGAAAGTTGAAGCAAATCTCCTTTGAAATCTCCCAGAGTCCATGGGC